GAAGAAGAAGAAGGAGGAGGAGAAGAAGAAGAAGAAGAAGAAGAAGGAGGAGGAGGAGGAGAATGTAAAATAAAAAAGAAATAAGAAACAAAGTGATAGAAAGAAATGCTAAAGTCTTTTGATTCTCTTTCAATCACTGTAACCCTCGACATTCTCGTGGCATTATTGCCTTACTTGGGTTGAAATGGTTAAAATGAAAACTCATATTTCTGTACGATTTTTTTTTTTTTTAAATAAATATAAAATTCACTATTTTTTTGTCCATAATATTGAATGTGTTAAAATTCTTCAATTTCTTCAACAAGAAAAAGCTCAAGTTGATATTAAAAGTTGCTGCAAGACATTGTTGATTTATTTAAGATAGAATGATCTATTGCAACATGTCTCAAATTTGTATTCAATTGATTGAATTTTTGAAATGTTCATGTATATTGCATATGATTCATTATTGTACATAATTAGGTTGCAATGAAATTTGTATTTTATATGAATACTATCTTATAAATATCATGATGTAATAGAATAGGAGACCTCCTTATCATAGCTTGGGGGTGCATATAATAGATTTGTTGAGGTACCACACTCTTGCACCAGCCCTGAATTACATTCTTACAGCTTTTGTGGGTTATTTAAAACTAAAACATTTTGGATTGTAAGAATAATTATTTTGTGACTGGAATTTGAACCTGGCTATCCGATTTCTCATTTCATGCTGCTATCCTTTACACCACCTGCACATACAGGATAGGTGAGAGAGGAAATAATTTGGGCAACAAACCAAAAAGTAAAACAGAGGCGTTTTATGAACTGGCTATATTGGAAATATTCACAGAACCTTTTCACCTGTAGAAAATTGAAGCTAACGGATTATAAAAGGGTGAAAACTTCAATTTGGTGATAGAATGCCAATCCTGTTTGAAGGTCTCCTCAGAAATGTGTGCTTCTTTCATTCAAAACCAGGAAAAAAGGTAGAAAAGTCTTTGGGAGCAAAGAATTGGACATCAAAGGACAAAGTATGATGGGAGAGAAAAAAAAAAGACGGTGTTGGAGCTCTTTATGAGAAAAACAAAAGAAAAATCATAGGAAATGATTAGAGAAAGGGGTGAAGAAATGAAATGAAACGGAAAGAAAAAATCAAAAAGAAGAAACATTCAGCAACATGCGGAAAAAAAGATGAAGAAAAGAATTTTATGAGAAAATTGGATGGGGTGGGTGGGTTGTATCTAGAAGAGTTATAAAGAAGAACAATGATTCAGAAAAAGGAGCTGAGACAAACGATTGGCGAAAGGAAAAAAAAACAATATGCCTGAAAGAGAAAAAGGCAGGGAATAGGAAAATGAACAAAAGATGAAAGATGACAAACTAATCGGGAGAAAAGTTTATCATTGCTGGTTTTTCACTCTTTTTATCCCCACTCAGGAAAAAAAAAAAAAAAAAAATGTCAAAATGGTAAAAATGATGAATTACTGAATGTATTTGAAAAAGTCTGTCATGAAAGAGGACTTTCTCTAAATCTGAAGGAGAACATTTATGGAATTGGTTTAAGTTGAACCAAGAGATGCTAATAATGGAAAAAGCTCGTGGGAAAGAGTGGGGGGAAGAAGAAGAAGAAGAAGAAGAAGAAGAAGAAGAAGAAGAAGAAGAAGAAGAAGGTGGTAAAGTAAACGAAAGAATAAAATGAGAACAGAGTGAAATAAACAAATAGAAAAAAGAAAGAAAAAAAGAAATGGGAACAGAGTGAAAGAAAGAACAAAAGAAAGAAAATAGGAATAGATTGAAAGAAGAAAATTAATAAAAACAGAAGTAGAGCGAAAGCAACAAAAAGAAACTGGAACAGAGTGAGAAGAAAAAATATAATAGGCTGAAAGAAGGAAATTAAAGAAAGAAAGAAAGAAAGAAAGAAAGAAAGAAAGAAAGAAAGAAAGAAAGAAAGAAAATGAAAAAGGACAAGGAAAATGTAGAAAATAAAAAAGAAAGAAAATGAATAAAAGAAGAAAGAAAAAGAAAATGGAACAGAGTGAGTGGAAAAAAGAAATCAAGAAAAAAAAAAGAAAAGAAACAATAAAAGAAACAAAATGAGAAATGGAGAAAAAAACAAAAGAAAAGAAGAAAAAATTGAAGTATCCACTTTAATAAGGAAGAAAGGTGAAAGAAAGAGAGAAATAAAAAGGAAAATCAGAAAGAAATGAAGAAATAATGAAAAAATATTGAAACTGATAAAGCAAAAGAAAAAATTAAACAAATCAAATAAACTATTTGTTTAAGAGAAACACTGAAAAAGATTTTTTTTTTCTTTTTTTTTCCTTGTTCAGGATTTTTTCTTGTCTAAAGTATTAGGTGTTTTGGCAAGTTGTCTGTTAGTCAGACCAACAATGCTGTTTTTTTAGCAGTATACATATATATACATTGCAGCACAAAAGTGAACCCCTAAGATAATAATGAAAAAAATCAATAAATCTTAATTAAGAAAAAGCTTTATTAAACAAATTACAACAATTTTTATCAAGCTAGAATAAAAATATTAATTAAAAATAAGATGTTGAAATGTAACTGAACTCTAACATTAGCAATCTAGATTTTTATTTTACATGGTTGCCAATGCAAATAATTTTTTGTATACAGGTAAAAATCAAAATGCTATGTGTTCATTTTTTGGTAAGTCGTGTATACTGCAGTCAACTAATATAACTGTGTATACAAAAGGGTGCAGTTAGAGATTAAACTTGAAAAATTAATATGCCAAGATCAAAAGAACTTCATGAAGCTATAAAATCATACAGTTGAAGCGTATAATGATGGAGGAGGCTACAAAAAGCTATCAAAATGACTTGTTGTGCATGTCTCTACTGTGTGACAAATTATTTATAAATTAAAGTCCTTTGGTATAAGGGCATTGCAATCAAGAAGTGGCCATCTGCAATAAATAACTGCAACAGCAAGCAGATAGGTGAATCTTGCTGGGTTCTCAGCAGTTCTCTTCTAAATGAGAAGATTTTTATATATAAAATAAGAAAACATTCCAATCACTCTAGAAACATATAAAAAATTTACACATTCAGTTAAAAATAGAAAATATCCTTGATAATGGCTAACAGAATAGCTAATAGTGCTCAGATATATAGAACATATGAACTGTTTTTATACACACAGAGGGTGCGATGGGTAAATTGTCGCCATTTCATATTTTTAATTTCATGCATGCGTGTTGTTGTTTGTTTTTGATTTTGTCAACTGCACAGTATAGTAGACCATCTGTGAGAAAAAGTCTACTAAAACGCAATTCATTCTGCCAAATATTTGGAAAAAGCATGCTGTACTGCTTGGCATTCACACAGGAAACTCCACTATGAACATTTCAGACTGTTTGGGTGTCAATCTGAGGAGAGTGCAGAGGATTCAGAAAGAGTTGGATGAATCTATTGGTGATTACAAAGTTGTTTGGAGTGATCATTAATGATGGCAACATTACGCCTCTATTCATCTTCCCACAGGGCCTCAGACTCAACACAGTGCCTTGAGAAGTTAGTGCTGCTCTAGGTCAAGAGGCCAGTTGCTGGAAGACACTATGTCTGGCAACAGGACTTTACCCCATGCCACAAAAGCAAGAGAACCCAGTCATGGCTGTCAGACAATTTCTGTAACTGCATCACCCCTTACATTTTGCCACCTAACTCCCCAGACTGCAATCTCCTTGATTATTATGTGTGGGGTGCAGTTAATTGAGAAACCACTAAAACTCCTTGTAACACCAAAGATGACCTGAAAGTAAGGATTATGGAAGCATTCACCAACTTAAAGAAGGATATCACCCAGAAGAGATATAGGAAATTCTAATGTTCTCTGAAGACTGTGGTTGAAGCCAATGGTGACTTTATTGAATAAATTTACTCTTTTCAGGATATTTTCATGTAATTTTGGTAAATATATCTGTTAAAATGAGATGTAAGTGTTATTTTCATTTTGTGTCATTTGGATAATACTTTATCCATCATACCATACATAAATATATATATATATATATATATATATATATATATATATATATATATATATATATATATATATATGCACACATTTATTTACTGAAAGATGGATGTTTGTTTATAAGTTTTCTTGTAGATGATTGATGATAAATGATTTTATGGAAATTCACATTAAGAAGTATAGAAATAAAGAAATATGCTTATAAAATCCATGGGCACATCAAGAGTGGGTGGAGGTGTGGAGAATGATAGAAAGGAAAAATGTCACAGCAAAAGTGAGAGAAGGAGAGAAGGGGTAGAGAAAGGGGAAGAAACAGGGCAAAAAAAAGTAGAGAGAAAGTAATAATAACAAATAAGAAATTGAGAGAGAGAGCGAATGAAGAGAGAGCAGACTTACTTCAAGAGAGAAATAGAGAGAGAAATAGGGAAAGAGAAATAGAAAAAGAGTGAAATAGAAGAGAGAGAAAGAGAGGACAAATACAATTGGGGAAAGAGAAAGAGAAAAGATGAAGATAGAGAGAGATTTTATTAAAAAGAGAGAGTCAGAGACAGAAAATTCATGAAAAGAGAGGAAATATTGGAAAAGAGAGAAAAATAAACAGAAGACAAAAAGTTAAGAAGAAAACAAATAAAAAAAGAAAAGAAAAATAACAAAAGATGAAACAGAGATCGACTTCAAGAGAGAAATTAAAAAAGTGAAAGAACAAAATGAAATGGGGAAAGAGAGAAAAGGAGTGAAATAGATGAGAGAGAGAGAGACCAAAGAGAATTGGGGATAGACAATGAGAGAGATGGGGGGTAAAGAGAATTAGGGAAATAGAAAAGGGGGAAGAGAGAGAAAGGACAAAGATAATTTGGGAAAGAGAAAGAGAGAGAGAGGGCAAAGATAATCTGGGAAAGAGAAAGAGTGAGAGAGAGGGCAAAGATAATTGGGGGAAAGAGAAAGAGAAAGGGAGTGAAATAGAAGAGGGAGAGAGAGACCAAAGAGAATTGGGAAAAGAGAAAGAGAGAGAGAGGTCAAAGAGAATTGGGGACAGAAAAAGAGAAAAGGGGTGAAATAGAAGAGAGAGGGAGAGAGAGACCAAAGAGAATTGGGGATAGACAATGAAAGAGATGGGGGTAAAGAGAATTAAGGAAATAGAAAAGGGGGGAAAGAGAGAGAGGACAAAGATAATTTGGAAAAGAGAAAGAGAGAGAAAGAGAGAGAGAGGTCAAAGAGAATTGGAGACACAGAAAGAGAAAAGGAGTGAAATAGAAAAGAGAGAGAGGAAAAAGAAAACTGGGGAAAGAGAAAGAGAAAAGGATTGAAATAGAAGAGAGAGAGAGAGGACAATGAGAATTGGGGAGAGAAAAAGAGAAAAGATGAAGACAGACAAGCAAGGAGATATTAGAAAAGTGAGAAAAATAAACAGAAGACAAAAAGTAAAAAAAAAAAAAAGCAAATAAAAAATTAACAAAAGAAAATTTTTCTAGCAAAAATAGAGGGAAAAAAAGAAAGAATAAAACTTAGAATGTAAACAGCAAAAATGAAAAAAAGTAAAATATTCTGGCTCCAAAACCGTTTCCACAGAAATACAGAAACTAAAAAACAAAATAATAATAATAATAATAATAACATACCTAAAAAATTAAAAAATAAAATAACTATTGCACTTGTCCAATAATCGATAGCAGTCCAGGTTCACACAGACAATCAGGGACTTGATTCAGTGCCTATCCCTTGAAAACAAAACTATCACTTAGGGATGGCATTAAAAGTAAGGAAAACGAAAGAAGCAGTGGCCGACGAAATTGGAATTATTCATTTTTAAGACAAATTAAATTGAAAATGTTCCCCCTCCAGAAAGCCCCCAAAGACTGTTTATTTCTTTCCACTCTCACCCACCCCCCTACCTCATCTTGTAATTCCCCTAACCTTCCAAACCTAAGATTGCACCCCACCACCACCACCTCCGTTCACCAATTTAGAGCCCCTCCCCTCGGAGAGAAAAGATTTATTGGAGGAAGCCAAAGAAAGAAGAATCACATGCAGAAAAGATGATGGTGAGGTTGGAGAAAACAAAAAGAAAAATCCAAAGAAGGAGAAAACACAAGATTTAGGAAGATTGTGCAGCACCAGTCATTCAATAGGGAAGGAACTGCCTGCCTGCCTTAAAAATTAGCATTCTAAATCCTGACTTTTATCTGAGCCTGTGTAGGTAATTATTTAACAAGTGTAGCTAGGTCTGGCACAAGGCCACAAGTTTGGGATACTCAGTATTGTTTTAAGCTATATGCAGGAGTATACCTAATTCTTAAAACTGAACTGACTAAATCTATCTAATCAACAGGATAGTCTTGTATTAGGTTACAAATTTTGGGGCATCCAGCATTGGTTTAAGTTATATGAAAGAGAAGCATTTTTAATACTAAAGTATACTACATACAAGGCTCGAGAGCAACTCAAGGTAGAGGGTTATGATGAATGAGGTAGATATGAGTGAAAGGTGAGGTGGTGGGAGGTGAAGATTAAGGAGGTTAGATGACGGTTGAGCCTTGACTTGAAGTGGTTAACCATGAGGTATTCAGGGAAGCACTCTCATGGGAGTTGTTTCCATAAAATATAAAAACAAAGAAAAAAATAATAGCGGTGTCATGGGAACAGCTATCCTTTTGATACTCAGTTTTTTATGGCTTTTTTTTTTCTGGAGAGAGAAATGAAAGAAAATGGTTTACAAAAAAGGAAAGAAAGAAAAGAAAGAACAAAAAAATGAATAAATAAGGCAGAGGGAAAAAGAAAAGATATGAAAAAATGTTTGAAAATTGAAAAACAAGAAAGATTTGCATAAAGAAAGAGAAGTAAAAGAAATATGCTTTTTGTTCATTTTTTATAATAATTAGAAATTAAAAAGAAGAAAAACATGAAAAGAAGAAAACAAAGACAGGCAGTAAGAAAAGACAAAGCTAAATTAGGAAAAATAAATGAATAAAATATGATAAGAAAAAACTGAAGAAGGACAATAATAAAATGTGAAAGAAAGAAAATGAAGAAAAACCCAACATTAAAACATTAAGAAGGAAACTGAAAAAAATCACAGCATTAAAATGTGAAAGAAAGAAACTGAATGTTAAAATATGAATAAAGGAAACTGAAATAAAACCCATCATTAAAATGTGAAAGAAGAGAAGTGAAGAAAAACAGCAATAAAATGCTGAAGAAAAAAGAAGTAAAATAACAACATTAAAACGTGGAAGAAGAAAAAACAACAGTATTAATATGCAAAAGAAGGAAAATGAAGAAAAAACAGCATTAAAATGTGAAAGAAAGGAAAATGAAGAAAAAACAGCATTAAAATGTGAAAGAAAGGAAAATGAAGAAAAAAATAGCATTAAAATGTGAAAGAAGAAAAATGAAGAAAAAAATAGCATTAAAACATCAAAGAAGGAAAATGAAGAAAATCTCAGCATTAAAAAAATGATTGAAGGAAAAAGGAAGAAAATCCAAGCATTAAATTATTAAAGAAGTAAAATGAAGTCCCAGCATTGAAACATGAAAGAAGAAAATAAATAACCCAGCAAAAAAAAAAATTGTGAATGAAGAAATAGAACGCTGAGTTGACGGAAATAAATGAAGAAAAATACATCAACAAAATAAAAAACATAATAAAAAAAAATTAAACCAGGAAAGAAAAATGAAGATGAGATTAAAAGAGGCGGAAATGAAAGAATGGTGAACAAATAGATAAAAAGCAAAACCCCTGAACGGGAAAAAAAAAAATGACAAGGTTGAATATGCAGCAGAATGTGATAGAGTGATAGAACGGTCTTACACCTAATTGAGTTGTGCCTGTTGATTTGGCATTTTTAAGCAAGGGTTCCAGCATTGTTCTTCCTCCTCGTCCATCATAGTCCTTTTTTTTTTTTATCTTTTCTTTTCCTGCCTCCCTCCTTAGACTCCAGAGACAACAGGGTCTAGTGCATGGGGTTGGCAGTGGGGCCAGTTGCAGGATCAATAATCTGCCTTCTATAACATTTTAGCTTAGTCTTGATCATTACGAGAAGCTTCCCTCCTTCTCAGCCTATTCAATCATCCGTTTTTGTCATTATATTGACTACAACTCCATTAATATCCGAAAAGCAAAACTAATAGATAGTCACTGAGGCTTCCCAACAAGTTTCTGCAACAGCAAACATTGATAATGAATTGCAATCATAATCTGTACATTTATGCCTAAAAGAAAGATATAAAAAAAATGGATATAAAAAAAAAAACTCTCAGTAAAGATCATAGTATTTACAATAATGAATGATTTGGGATGACTTCTTCTTTATGTGCCATATCCCCTCAGGAAGTAGGCGTTCATGGCTCTCCACAATTTCATGTCTTTTGTAGCTCTTAATAAATTTTGTCTTTTTTTATTTCTCCTAAACACTTTTCTGCCATCCATTTACTTAAGCTCATCAAGTATATCATGCACTGTTTTCCTCTGTCCCTTCTTGCCTTACTCTTGTGAGTATCAGATTTTCCAAGCCCCCTCTCCTCATTATGTGCCCTAGAAATTTCAACTGCCTATTTCTGATATTAAGTATAAGTTTCCTTTTTGTTTCCATTTTCTCTAAAACCTCATTGTTGCTCACATGTTCTATTCAGGAATTTAAGAATTATGGTTCTACACAGCTTCCTGGATTTTGTTAATCTCAGCAGTACTTTCTCCTTTATGATTCAACTCTTTATCATTGTGAATCTTTTTTAGAGTCATTTGCTCAAACCTGTCAAGTAGGTTACATTCAGCTTCACATGTATCCTGTAAGTGTTAAATTCTCCAAGCATGCACACCTCATTATATATCAATCCTGTTCCTCTCCCCTGAATAATGCTTCCTCTCAGAAAACCCACCCAATGATTTAATCGATATTTTTTTATCTTTAAGAGAATTGTCAGTTGCCCACCATGCAGCAGTTCTAGGAATCCGATAACAATAATAATAATGATAATAATGGTGATGATAATTGATACTCTGGAATTCAGCATTCAGAATGGTAGAGAAATTCAGGTAAATCAAGCAGATATAATTGTGAAAAATCATTTGATAAAATATCACAAAATTTAGTCTTTAAAGGAATCATCAGTCATCTATTATGCAGCATTTTCAGGGATACACTAATAATAATAATAACTAGAGATAGGTCCTGTAACAATTTTATGGGGCTTTACAAACACACAGACAGAACAATCAAAACTAATTGCCTAGACATCGTGATCAAAGACCACAAAAACAGAATGGGCTTTCTTATTGACATGGCAGTCCCTGCAGGTTATAATGTATCTTTGAAGATCTTCAAAAATCTATCAAAATACAAGGATCTTAAAGTGGAAATCTTAAAAATGTGGCACATGAAGACATCAATAATTCCAGTTGGATTGATTGGAAATGGTTCTGATAGACTCATTGAAGGGATTCCTTGTATCCTATGCCTTAAAGAAATACAAAAAAATGTACTCACAAGTAAATCTCAAACATTACAAAGAGTTTTATCTATGTAAAATTTGTGTAAATCTTAGTTTAAATTTTTTATTTATTTTTTGTTTTTACAAAAATGATGAGTGGAAAATGTCATGAAGCCATTTCTGACCATAAGTCTCTGGTTGGGACGCAGAAGGAAATGTGTATACAACAAAAATCAAAGGAAATAATAATAATAATAATAATAATAATAATAATAATAATAATAATCGATTCCCTAGAATTTCAGCATTCAAACTGGGAGAGAAATCCAGGCAAATTGACCAGATATAATTGAAAAAAATTATTTGATAAAATATTGCAGAGATTTAACCAAATATTTGGTCTTTAAGGGAATCATCAGTTGCCCACAATACAGCAGTATCATGGATTCAAGAATAATAATAATAATAATAATAATAATAATAATAATAATAATAAATCCTCTGGACTTTCAGTATTCAGACTGATAGGATAATCCAGGTAAATCAACCAATTTGTAAAAAGTCATGTTGCAAACACCTCTCTTCTGATAGATGTTGTGGCCCCAACCAGCAAGTAAATAGGAGACAGAAATTGGTAGAATGTGGTGCCATAAGATGAGAAAATGACCTGTTATTACTGGGTCTTTGAAAACAATAACAAAAAGAATAGATAAATATGTGTATCACATTCATGGTAGCCCTAAAATATGGGAATTGACAAAAATCATCCATATGGATATTTTTCACATCTTGTATAGATTTCTCTCCAGGCAGTGACCACAATTAGGGTGCATATTTTTTTCTCTCTCTGATTGCATGGCATCTCACCTGTTTGCATCTTCTAATACAAAAACCTTGTTGTCTCTTGAAGTTTCTGGATGAGTCCTGGGGGCAACTCCTACTACCCAAATTAAAGGCAAAACACAATAATAATAATAATAATAATAATAATAATAATAATAATAATGATGATGATGATAATAATAATATTATTATTATTAAATGTCAAAAAATTTGAATAAGTGATAATTTGGTAATTTAATATTGTTTTAAAATTAACATTTTATGAAAAAATTTTTTCATACAATTAATTTCAAATCAAATTATGGGACATTTTCTTTTCTTTAAATTTTAATTCTTAATGTGTTTTAATATTTTTACAATAATTTATCAGGTTTTTTTTTGTTTTTTAGATTTTTTTTTATTTGCAAATCTTGTAACTTTAGGAGATTGATTCAAAAATATTTTCATTTTGCCAACATTAATTTTAATGACTGTGCAAATCTTTAAATGATAACCAAATAAAATTTCAAATAAGGACTTTTTTAAACAATCTCAGTGATGAAGTTTGAAGCAAAAATATTGATTTTAATCATCTGAAAAAAATGTCCTGGGAATTGCAAAATATTATTAAATAAACGTTAAGTATTTTTATCTCATTCAAATATTGATGATTTCAAAAGTCACTCCTTCTGTTTACAGAGGGTAGGTTGCAAAGACTTAATATATATTGTCTTCAGTGATTTCAAATGAAAGTCTGAAATTATCCATTGATTCTTAATGATTTATTCAAAGCCAAATATATATTTTAAAATTGAATTTACTAAGATTTTGTGTGATATTGTGCATTGAACTGGTGGGTGGGGGTATCTCTTGTTTACTTTTTATGATTGAGGCTATGGTTCCTTCTAAATTCTAATTTTAAAACTTAGGTGGAGATGTGAGAAGTATAGACTTCTCACATCTCAACCTAAGTTTTAAAATTCATCATTTTTTTCCCACAATCGAAGTCGATAGGTTGACCTATTGTCCAGTTCACACTCCTCCCTGATCTTTTGAACAGGAGTAGAGGTTTATCTTTTGTTTCTTGTTTAGGATTGTGTTTCTTGTTTCTTCTAAATTCTGCTTCAACTCTATTCTTCTAACATCTCCACCTAAACTCTGAAATGTATACAATGATTGGGTTTCTGGTTCCTGCTAAAGTTTTTTTCTTCTCTTTCAATTTCAGTAACCAGTTATGTCTTAGTGGCAATAATGCCTTGCTTGGGGTGAATTAATTAATATAAAATTTAAAGGACAAGCATTAATTTTTTTACCAACTCTCAAAACCATGATTGAGAAAGAAGGAGACTATTTTGAGAACTAGATTTGAAATCCAGAAACATTTCTGTTCATTTTGTCATGCACTGTGTTAACCTGATATTAAATCTATTGTAATTAAAGAACAGGCATTAGTTTTTGACCGACCCTCCCTTGTATCATGATTAAGAAGAAAAGAAAATATGTTGGGAACCAGATTTGGATTCATCATGAAAACGTTATTGTGAAGTAAACACAAAATACTGTTATTCTACCTCACAGTGGAATACAGTTCTAAAACTGCAAATCTTGGGTTTTATCTGAGTTTGGACACTGGCTGTGGTCACTGGCTGTGGTCACTGATTGGGAAATATTCAACTATCTCAGCCACCAACCCAGGCAAATCTGCTTGTCATTTGGGCCAGTTCCAAGTAAGATTCTCTTGAGGATTATAAAAGATTCACAAAACAAAAAAAATTATTATTGGAGAGATATATATCTGTCTATATTTCTGAGATGAGGTATTGTAATTATTTACATTATTTAATGGCTAAAACATTGCAAATATAGCAATAAAGATGAGGAAAACCGTCTGAACAATGTAAATAATATAAATAATTATACTTTTAATTCCTGCTTTTGTACTATAATAATTGTTACATTAGCATACACATTTCATTTGCTAAATGTACCATTTATTATGGGACTGATGTGATATTTAATTCCCAACTTTGTCCCAAAATGGTTGTTACATTTGCATACACATTTCTTATGCAAAATGTACCAGATATTATGGGACAGATATAATATTTTGTAATTCCTGCTTTCTCTAAATGTACCATATACAAACATAATATTTAAT